TTCCAACCTTTTCTTTTGAACTAGAAACAGAAATGATATATGTTTAAAACACGACATCATCCACCCTTGTCAAATGCAATAGCATGATCATTTCAATTGTAATGCCCGCTTGTCCCAACGTTACTTTGTTTCTTTGCTACATTAGCGAACACTGAACTACTGCTCGTACTCTAGATATGACAATCAACCACTAAAATTCCCTAAACCAGATAACATTAAACATAATCCAAAAAATCATGTGTCAATTCACGAGTTTTCTCACAGAGCACTTTGATAATTCATTGCAACATTACATATAACTAGTTATTAAAACTGCTCAGAAAAAAAAAAAGAAATAGACCTTATTTCATTTTCTCTTTTAAGGTGGACATGGACTCGAAAAAATTACGTGATGGAAATTTTTGTCTGTTCATAGCTCTCATTTTATTAAAAACAACAGCTAAAGCAGCTGTAAAATCCTTTACCTCTGTGTGAATTAATTCTCTTCTGCTTATGCGGATAAATGCGATCAGATTCTTACAGAGCAAAGGGACAATCAACATTTAGATACCAAACATAACTGCTTCGTTTCTTTCTGTTGTTATCTCATAATAGTTTAATTCATCTCTCTCGCTCACTATACGATACAAAAGTTAAATTTGAAAGTAGTGGGTAAATTTTTTTGATCGGAAATTAGCTTCCTAGATGTCGACAGATGGCGATCCTTTCGATGAAATTATTTTTGTTTTTTTGTGTTTGTTACCACAATATTCATTATAAACTATTGTAGTTATTGTAGTACACTTATAGATCTGTAATTTGATCATTTTAGTTTTTTCTGTTTCTGTGATTTTTTATGTTATCGTTACGTGCATTTTCCACGTTTTCTAAGAAACAAGGGACACCAAAAAAGTGAAACATAAATATGTTTTATATAACACTTTATATAATTTCTCAGAATCAAATTTCTCCACACCAATAACGATAAACTTTCAAGAAGAATGCTGCTGAGAATTTAGGAATGTGATCGACATAGAAAAGAGTCCAAATTCTTCGACAAACCCAAACAGTAGGATTACCCTCGGAATAATAAACAAGAGTGTATGTTTGTAATGGTATTTTACAATAGAAATGCGAATTTTACCGAAAGGGAAACATATTCCGTGTAAGTTGTTCAAACGTAAATTTGAAAGTCAAAGTGACATCTGATCATGAGGAAAAAGACACGAAGCAGTCAGTTTGTAAACGATAAACAGTTATATTCAGAGTAACGGACGTAATCTTAAGAAAAAGAAAAAAAAAGAGAAAAGTTTACTTCTCTTCGATTTTGTCGAATCTTTGCAAAAGCCTTGTTCAAAAATCTATGTCCTGATAAGAAATTGAACAAAACAGAGGAAGAAGAAATATATGCTGAATTAACTATCTTTTTACGTGATATAGAAAGTGCACAATGCATACAAATATTTTTCCTGTGAGTTCTTCGAGGATGTACCATGTAACAATTATTGCAGTAAAGTGATAAAAGCGCAATTACTCCTTCTATGTTCAATATATGTAGATGCTTAAGCAGATTGGCTGTGAGAATGACAAGACCGGTTAGACCACAAAATTGCAAACCTAACATTTCTATTGCTCTTCTACATATAAAAATTAAAAAAAGCTATTAAATTTTTTCTCGCGACGTTCGCACCATAAACTATACGAAAGATAACTAGCACATATGTGTAAAGATCAAAACATCTGTAGCCTGAAGAGCAATGGCCGTTCTCTTGCCAAAAAGAACGAATAGTGACGGTTTTCGAATCCCAGATGAATTTTAAAACAATGAAGAACCTAGTTATTCTATTAAGAGCTCTTTTTATGTAAAGGCGGCGAGTATTCCTTTTTTTATTGCGAGATAACTACATATACACCGTCAGTACAGATCTCGATCTGTTGATGAACATGCTACGTGCTTTACCACATTATAGTTTCTGATATGTCTAAAGTATTTCTCTATTGCAAAATCAACTTGATTCCTTTCAGTTTTTAATCATAGTAACTCTAAGTTATACTCTAGCTGTGTATTTTACGCCCTGCCACATCCGATACACAACGAAATGAGTCAAACTTGAATCAATTCATGATAAAACTTCATTTAATTCATCGAAATCTCATTTTCTTCCATCAACATTGTTATATTTTCAAGAAGAATGGTGTTGAGAATTTTGGAAAACGATCAACGTGATCAAATGAAAAAGTCAAATGACATCAGATATCAAAACAAGAAGCAGGCAGCTTGTAAAATTATTAGCTAAGTGACGGATTAAAGAATAACTATTCACAGCGCGAGTATTTCAATTTGTGTCCTCCAAGCCTCTAGATGTATCATGAATATCCTTATTGAAGAGGTTGGAAAACACCGTAACAGAAAAGAGAAGCATAGTTTTTGTAGGAAGGAAAATTCATACAATTCATTCTTCTTGACATTAAAAATGCATGAACATAATATTTACTTTGCACAACGGGGTTTTGCTCGGCTTTTAAAAGGAATTAAAAAATCACCTTTATATTTCTTGTTAAGAGAATGAAAAGCACCAAATAAAGTATGGAATATTGTTATCGGTCGCCATGAATTAACAACGATTCATCTTGTAACTGAATTCTAACTAAGTTCAGTGATCACATTACAATTCCTATTTCTTATTTCGATACGTTGTTAGGTGGTCGCTTAGCAAGAATTGAGAGACTGATCCACTTTGAGTGCGTGCTGATGGACTGTGTAATTTAAACCTGACAATACAAACTTATCGAGATACTTTGAGTGGCCTCTAATCATTTTCCGAGATATTTTGGCGAAGGAAGGAAAAGAAGAATGATTATGCTCGACAAAGGTTTCGTACATATATTTGAGGTTATAGATGAAAAATACAAGAATCGTGATGAGAAAAGAAAGAGGAACTAGCTATTGTCACCTGGCTTTGATAAAAATAAAAAAAAAGAAACAATGACTTTTTCAAAGATAAAAGACGCAGGAAAGACTGGACTCTAAATTATACTTGTATTTTAAGGTTACTGGTATTCTTTTTTCAGCATCAGAAGAGTTAACTTTCTCAACATATCAACAATTTTTCAAGGAAACAGGTATCGAGAAAACAAGATTCATTATCTATGGACCATCCAGAGTAAACCGTATCGTAAAGTATCTTGCTGTTTTCAGTGTTTGTCCCAAACTACGTAATGGACCGTACAAGGGATTCGGAATTTTTTTTAATACATTTTTCTTAGAGTTGGTTCTCAAACTGGCAATGATTTCCAAAACTCAGGTGCAGAAATGGTTTATAGAAAACAAATTTAAATCAGTTAGTCCAGGATAAAAGCATACTTAAACATCATTTTCTATTTAAGTAAAAGCAGTTGTTGCATGTTATTGAGTTTACCTGAATAATATTAACAAATCCCTGTTGGCTTGATGTAAGCTTACAATGAATGTTGAGGTGGTTCTGAGATAAGTCAACATATCGCTTCTGCTTCCAGTATTAGAACATTTAAACTAGCTTCTGGTGAGAATAAAGAAAAACGTCATGTGCTGAGTCAATCGACGACAGCGCCTCTTAAATTAACAATGAAACGGACAGATTGATTGAGAGCAAATAATTGTGATATTTTTTCATAAAGAAAAGAGAACCAAAGGCCAAATCATCGGCTTCGACGAATACCGAATGCTTTGGGACTGATGGAAGTAAATTAACTAACACTTTTTAAAGTTGTACTTGGCCATGGATAGAACTCTTAAATGAGTCCTAAACAAGTGTACATACAACTTGTAACTAAAATAAATTTCAAATTTACGTTAACGACGATGTCTACTGAAAGGATAGACATGTAAATTAAAAATCAGAAGGAAAAATTAAGGATATTATCTTTACTTCCTTAGCACACAACATTGTGATGGTATCTTCAGTGGCCAAGTGGAGTTTCATTCTTGTTTTCTGTAAGCACCTCAACTGTTTTCCACTATTATCTAAAAATTTGAAGCTATTTAGTTCTTTTTCTCTAATGGAGAAAGAGAAGAGGCCCCATGGGTGGAATGGGCAGTAAGGAAGGAAATGGAGGTAATGAGTGGGATATCCGTCGAAGGAGGGCATTGAAGAGTTAGAGGATGAACCAAGATGGCATCTGCTAAAAGATGAATATTTTGAAGATAAGTGTATCATGCAACTTAACTAGGCATGTGAAATGAGAAGATGTCCAAGACTTCAAAAGTGTCCCATCTGAAGTTCAAATAAGGATCTGCTGCCTATTTTGCTGGTGCATTTATTTTTGTGAGATTTTAATCTCTTTCAAGTTCAATAAAATTAATTCAAATTAAAATTCAATGAAATAATTCCACTGAAATATGCATGAAAACCAGTACCAAATTAACTTTTCCCTATCCTCGATAAACTTTTTTCACAAGGAAACTAGATTTACGGTCTTAATTCTAAATTGACGACAAGTTTTCTGTTTGGAATCGGAGACCCATTGGTGCAATGGCTATACCCCAAGCTTAGAGAGCCCCAGCTCTGACCAAAACGTTTTGTTGTGTTATTGAGCTAGTCACTTTACGGACCGTCTGTGCTTAATTTTGTCATTTAGTTTTTGTTTATTTTTTTTCTGTTAACGAGATAGCTCATTTTAGGATAACTTCTGCGGAGCAATAATTGGATTTTTTAAAATTCAATTTATCTTGAAGTTTTGAAATCGTCATTCGTTTTGTCCCAGCTGTAGCAGAGGTCAATTTGTGGGCACTGCTTCACTTTCTCCTGTGCGGAGTACAAAGTTAAGCAAAGTGTATTTTTGTATACGATTTGTCTAGTGGTCTTAAATCCAATAAATGGAGTAATTGTGCTTGCAAGACAGAGCTCAGTTTTTATGCAAGCCGCTGTCTTTTTTTCTTGGTCTTTATGTACCATTTATAACTTCTTTATGATAACCATCTATTTTTTTTATGTTGTAAGCAGACTAACTGACTTGTTGCATTTATTGCAGGCTTTTTGAATTATGATAAGCAAGCACAAGGATGGGAACGAGTCCAGGAGTTTGACAAAGAACAAATTCTCTCAGTTCCACAGGGATATTACGTGGAACTAAACTTCACTATGCACAGCAGGTTTCCACTGCCATGCCTATGGGGTTCAAATCTTGAAATTCGTGATGGCAGTAATCAGTCGGCCAATTTTCTTGGTGAATTCTGTGGAGATTACGGAATTGGAGTAGTGCGATCCAGTGGACGATACATGTGGTTGAAGTTTAGCGGGAAATATTACTTTAATTTTGCTGCATTCTATACTGGCAGAGCCAACAATGAAACAGGCATGGAGTTCCTTTCTATATATATATATATATATATGTAATGAATAAAATATTTGATTATTGTTCATCGTGATGTAAGATAAGAGATGAACTTTATTCGTTTGTCTCACGACGGTGTCACTATGGATGTTGATCGCGACGTTTCGACTGCAATACTGCTAGTCTTCATCGGGCGATGAGGTCGATTGTTTACGTGTCGCTATTTGTAGCACGTTGGTTCGCTGCTATTGGTGCATTTCGATCCTATTATTACTCCGGTTGTTAGACGGTGTTTTCCTCATGGGTCCGTATTGATTGGCTACTGTGTTGTTTGAAGGGGGTAAGTTTCTAAATAAAACTGCGGTGCTGCGTGGGTGGGAGAGTATGACAAGGTAATTTAGTACTATCAACTGAGCTGAAAACGTAAATTGGGCATCGTAAAAGGTTTAAAGGCTGATTTTTCGAGCGTTCGACTCCACTATCCTTATTGATGTTGTTAGGATGAAGTCTATGAATAGCCTCTTTGACCCTATGTGTAATAAACTTAGCGTCGCTCCAAATAGGAATATGCCCCGTTTCGTACGCATGCTCCGAAGCCGCACACGTTTGAGTGCAAACAAACCGTATGTTTCTGTCATGTTCTTTTATCCTTTTTCGCATTGATCTCCCTGTTTCACCCATATACACTTTGCTGCATTCGCATGGGATCTTGTAAACGACACCGTTTTGTTTTGTTGGTTCTAGCGCGTGTTTAGGTTGCACTAGGTGAGACCTTAGCGTTATGTAAGACTTGAGAATGGTCCGAATGCCTTGATGTTGTAGGAAGCCGCGAAGAACCTTTGATACACCCTTTATGTAGGGGAGAACAGCAGTAGATTTAAATCCCAGCGCGGGTTCTTTGTTGGCTGTTACTCTCGGTGTCTTTGCGAGTTTCACTACAAACGAAGAAGGATAACCATTAGAAACAAGTACTGATGATAAGTGTTTCTTTAACTGACAGCAAACCAACGTGCTACAAATGGCTACACGTAAACAATCAACCTCATTGCAATTAGCAACCATTTTTTGAAACGAATATGTACACATATGAGTCTTCAAAAACATTTCAAATTTCTAAATGTATATACACCTTTTCTATTCTCATCAGAGACACTTTTTGGTGAAAAGAAAAGGTATTTATATAAATATAAATATATATATATATATATATATATATATATATATATATATAGAGAGAGAGAGAGAGAGAGAGAGAGAGAGAGAGAGAGAGAGAGAGTTAAAAAAATGCGAGGATGGACAACTTTTGGCGTAAAAAAGATAAAAAATTTAATAAAAACGTTTCGGTCAGAGACCTTCTTCAGTTATTTACCTAAAATAACTAAATAACTGAAGCATTACGTTTTCAGCACCACTTTCTGCTCTTTCACGTGATCTTGTATCTTAATCATTGGTTGTCACCTGTAATTACGTAATCACCAGCACCTCGATCTTATTTAAAGCTCTTTTTTATTCAAAAGTTGTAAATAACTGAAGAAGGTCTCTGACCGAAACGTTTTTATTACATTTTCTATTTTTTTTACGTCAAAAGTTGTCCATCCTCGCACTTTTTTTAATTTTTTACATACATACATACATGTATATATATATATATATATATGTAACTAACTGCAGACAGTACTGTTTCGGCCTTCACAGAAAAAAAACACAGTCAATAAATTAAACCAATTCCTTGCTTTTTAACATTTTTAATTTTTCTGGTTGTAATTGCTATAAAACAACATGACATTTGCAGAATACAACAGTTAACGAAGGATGAGAAGTCACCATAAAACTGTAAATTTCGTAGATCATCTGCAACTGAAAATAAGTTACAGAAAAGTTAGTTAAGTTCTGTGCTGCTGGTTTTCAAAGACCAATGAATTGAACAGAGATTGACGCTTATCAATTCAGAAGGAATATATTTTTTCAAAGTGCAGCACTAAAGAGAGTCACGGAAGAAAAGAAATAATGCTAGCAGCAATGACTCATCCTAGTAGAGTGCTAAATTTGGAGATGAAAGCAAAGCTTTGTATGCCAAAGAGCTATATCTAACTGCATAAATATATATACACTGTGGAAGGAAAAAGACAAATAAACGACCAGTTCATCCCTACAGACCTGTTTCGTGGTTGCCCACTCGTCAGGAGAAATCCCCTGATGAGTGGGCAACCACGAAACAGGTCTGTAGGGATGAACTGGTAGTTTATTTGTCTTTTTCCTCCCACAATATATACATCGCTCTACTCCTATGTATTGAGCACTGTCTTACGTAAGTCAAAATAACTCTTTTATATATATATATATATATATATATATATATATATATATATATAGATAGGAAGTCTGCAGGTCGATTTTCGCGTGAAACAGTGCTCAATACGTTGAAGTAGAGCAGAATAAATATTATGAGAGAAAAAAACGACGCAACTACATATCCCGACAAGCCTGTTTCGTGAATTAAACCCCTGAAGAGTGAAGCGATTCACGAAACAGGCTTGTCGGGATATGTAGTTGCGTCGTTTTTTCCTCTCATAATATATATATATATATATATATATATATATATATATATATATATAGGAAGTCTGCAGGTCGATTTTCGCGTGAAACAGTGCTCAATACGTTGAAGTAGAGCAGAATAAATATTATGAGAGGAAAAAACGACGCAACTACATATCCCGACAAGCCTGTTTCGTGAATTAAACCCCTGAAGAGTGAAGCGATTCACGAAACAGGCTTGTCGGGATATGTAGTTGCGTCGTTTTTTCCTCTCATAATATATATATATATATATATATATATATATATACACATACATACATACATACATAAGTCAAAGAACAAAGTGCTCATAAAGTGGCATAAAGTGCTCAATGCTGTGGTAGATGAGCTAAGTATACATAAGTTAAAGAAGAGGACGACGCATTGATTCTCTGTAACTCTAAGTTTCGCGCCTAAGCGTTCGTCAGACAGAACTTTACTCAACGAAGAACATACCTCCTTATATACAAATTAGATAACTTTGCGCCTCATGAGAGCCGATTAGTGCTCTCGTGCCCCTGGTTTCCTCCAACGACTATACAGTTGAAATCCCCTAAAAGAAACGTAGTCAGAGCAATGATGCAAAATCCTTAGGCGAGGAGTGTGACGCGAGTCACGCTCGAACACCTTTTTTAGTTAATGTTAAATAATCGTAATTCGTGTGACTAATTTTGAAATGTAATCGTTAAAAAGAACACGTGGAGGCTTCAAATCGCACTAAGAAAATTAAGCAGAAGGAAAATACCCCGTATTTTTTTCTTAGGAGTTAAACAATGTAGGTAATAACTTCTTTCGACGTTATTTTCGTTTTCTCACGTCTTTGGTTCGAGTATTTTTGTTTATTTGGTCCTTGATGTTTCATTTTTAGTTTTTCCACCACGTGCCATGTGACTTTAAGCAATGTTCAATAAATTAGATTGAGAGTAACTGTGCTAGCGTGGTACACGGTTTCAACGGCGCTATCTCGATTGACACGCAACCGCAATCGAGAACGTGACAACTTGTAACATGTCAACATTGACGACTTCCGGAGAGTTTCTTACGCCAAAACGTCGTAGTCGTGTAAACATCTCGGTTACACGTGGAGATCTTTGATATCTATCTGCGTTTTAAACTAAAATGCGAATGGACAGAGATGAAAAGGAGAAGAATCCATTAGTGAAACTTAAAAAGAACCCTTGAAATTCGATGCGGAATCGCGAAAGAATCTCACCAAAACGGATAAAGCCTCTTGGCTTGGGCAATCTTCGTTGCTCGCTCTCGATCAGTAACCATTAACTTTTGCCGCAGCGGGGTTAATCCGGTTTTGAGGTTGAAGAAAAAAGAAGAGTTGAATCAAAATTACCGTTCAGCAGAATTTTACTGACAAGAGTTGCTGTTAGATAGTTACCCGCCAAACGTTTTTAATGAGAATCTCCCGCAATGGCCTCCGACGGAATGCATATCGGTAAATTATTTATCTGCAAAGTTGACAGATAAATTGTAAGTAACCAATAAGAATAGAAAAAAAAATCCTTACACGATTTTGAATACCAACTCTTCAAGATTGATATTGGGCAAAAATTTCATTTTTGCGGCGAGATTTGAAGTGTGATTATTTCAAATTGTCGTGCCCTTTCGGTTTACGATTAGATCGTTTACGACTAGATTGGTTTACGATTTATATCAAAACGAAATAATTTTTATCGAATAGTTGTTATACTTCAAAGAGTGCATTAAAAATTTATTTCGCGAAGAACACCCGCGAAGGTTTACCGTATCATTAACTTGGTGACGAAGTTACAATTCCTCAGTACAATTTGACCTACAATGACAATCTAGTTGTTTCTGGAAGTTACAATTAAGTAATACAAAAATACACACACACATATATATATAAGAACTCCAAGCTATATATATATATATAGATAGATGTGGAGGTAGAGTCTACCTTGGCATAAAGTGCTCAATGCTGTGGTAGCAGAGCTAAGTATACATAAGTTAAAAAAGAGGACGCATCGATTCTCTGTAACTCTGAGTTTCGCGCCTAAGCGCTCGTCAGACAAAACTTCATTCAACGAAGAACATACCTCCTTATATGCAAATTAGATAAGTAGCTAATTAATTCCCTTGTGTGATGATCTAATCTACGTGTGAAATAAAGATTCTATAGAGCTATTGGCGGCTTGTCAAATTTGCTAAGTAAAACTTATTCTCGTGGCGGCATTTAGAAATGAGTTCTGTTCTTTTGTTTAATAAAGACGGCTTCTTAGCTCTAACTAAGTATAGTTTTTCTGTGAGGCAAAAGTGGCACCGTTTGCTTTTGTTGCTGTAGGCCGGGACGGTCGCTAAAATACTCCAATTGTAAAATTTGTGTTGTTGTCTTTGAGTGTCCAGATATGCTTTGATAGTTCCGTGCTGTTTGAACGTGCTGCAACTTCCTCGACGTCACCGTAAACCTCACGGACGGAACCCACTATCCATACAGAAAGCCCAACAACGAAACTCTCTACATCGACACCAATTCTAACCATCCGCCTACAATAATAAAATACCTACCAGCAGCCATCGGCTAACGAATCTCCGACATTTCCTCAAGAAAAGAACTCTTTAACAAAGCCAAACCACACTACAAAAGTGCACTTAAACAAAGTGAACACGACGAATAATTAATCTACACTGAACGCAAGAAACCTGTAACTCACACCATACAGAACAGCCGCAAGGACAAGCGTTTCTGAGGGAAAGACTTGCTCCTTGTACGCTCTTTTTTTGTCTTGCTCATGTAGATCAGTTAGCTTCGACTGAATGCGTTCAAAGTCCTCTGTCGCGGCATTTAGTTGGGCAGCATGTTGCCGGAGCATGAATGCAGTTCTATTCTATGTAAAGAATATATTACCCGCAAGAGTATTTTACTCCCTGAATGTTTCCGTCTGTTCTCTATGGCATATGCTAAGGTCTCTTGGGTCTCTTGGATAACTCGGTGTCCGTTCGTGGTGATATCCCCTGCTGGATCTTCTTGTCGTTTCGAAATGCTTTTATTCTATTTTAATCTATTACCCGCAAGAGTAATTTTACTCCCTGAATGTTTCCGTCTGTTCTCTATGGCATATGCTAAGGTCTCTTGGGTCTCTTGGATAACTCGGTGTCCGTTCGTAGTGATATCCCCTGCTGGATCTTCTTGTCGTTTCGAAATGCTTCGATTTTTTTTTTCACGTCCTCCGCTAGCCGATATTTAAATAACGGCTTACCTCCACGTTCTCCGGTGATTGTGCATTTCGGCAATTTTTTCCACTGTTGCACTCTCGATTGCGGTTGCGCGTCAATCAAGATAACGCTGTTGAAATCGTTTACCACGCTAGCACATTTACTTTCAATCCGGTTTATTGAACATTGATAAACAAAATATTAGAACTAAAGACGTGAGAAAACGAAAATAACGTCGAAAAAAGCGCTCACTTACATTGTCCGACTCCTAAGAGGAAAATACGAGGTATTTTCCTTCCGATTAATCGTTAACTTAAAACCAAAATTAAAAAGTATTGGCACAGGAGGGTTTACTGTATCCTTAAATGACGCAGACAGACAGACGGAGACAGAGAAAGGCGGAGAAGGATACGAATAGAATTCACATGTTGCTTTAGCCTGAACATCGAAATGTGTCAGGATTAGAATGATATTTTTTGATGTGCATGTAAAATGGGTTATCCTTCCATGCTGTGTCTAAGATTTAGATGGTCTGAATACATGCACCGTAGTCTTTTCAACAATTACTCTCTTTTTTTCTTTGAAATCTAATATAGTCAATCCTACGATGGACCCAGTTCCAAACCCGCAGTATGTATTTTTGAACAGAACCTCTAACCTGTGGTGCCCAGTAAAAGGTGCGCCGGCTCCATACATTGTATGGAGAAAAGATGGTGACGTTGTTCAAAATAGTACCAGCATAACATTTGAGCTTAATATAACTTCGAAAAACAACGTGAATTACAGCTGCGAGGTAAGAAGAGATGGAGAGGTATTAAGAAGGAACATCAGCCTCATAATTGAAGGTGAGGTATCATTGTTTTTGTTGAAGTATATCAGTACTTTCCGTGCATATTTTGATTGTCTAAACCCGTACTTTTTTATTTGCTCAAAATTCTAACCACCTAAAAAAACGGTTAAACCACTTTAGTTGTTGAATGTTATTTAAACTTTCCAAAGTTATTTTTCCATATCCCTTTAATTTAACTTGTATGCTTTTTACCGTATTGAATGCTAATTATTGGCAAGGTAGATATCTTCTGAAAGGGACAGCGTAAATGATTAGAAGCAAAGGATATTCTCACATTTAGACGACCAAACTTACTTATTTCTATTTCAATAGAAGTTAATATGCCATAATTTGTCGATTTTGGCGCCTGCATACAGTTTACCAGAAGTTCGTGTTTTCGATCCAGTCTTCATCTTTGATTCATGATCAGTTTTCGAACCAACCTCGTTCTTTTTGATGGGTCATTTTTACATCGTATCTCTGAAGTGTTCGTCTAGTCTTGGTAACTGTGATTTTACCGTTATTTTCGATCCAAAGGAAATATTCTTCGTTACCAAAAACAACTTACTTAACTCTTTTAAATTTGAAGCCTTTGATGACGAATTTTAACCGCCAATCATTTTCTTTCCTCATTTAGAGTGCCCAGACCCTTGTAAATGTGACGTCTCCCACCAAACTAGCATTAGTGTGAATTGTAGTGGAAAAGAACTTAATTCGATTCCTTGGAAATTTCCTCTTGCCATGTCAAAATTGTGAGTACCACTAAACAGTTTTAAACACCAAGAAAAAAATCTGGTCAAGAGGACTGATTCTCCCCTAAAAGCCTTATTCGTAGAGGAATCCCTCTCATGTTATCGTAGGTCTACCTCCCCCTTAAGGCCTTATTCTTAATGAAGTCCTTTCATGCCATTGTAGAATTCAAATCAATTAGGACAACCCCAGGACAATTTATGATGTACCATGACTGATAGACGAGTTGTGGGAATTCTTCATGGGCACAATGTTCTACACAGGATTGGCTATATCCGCCTAGAATCTACGAGAAAGGGTGTGATCTTAAAATAATTTGAGAGAGATCGGCTCAAAAGTGAGGCTTATATGTGAGATTTAGTCACTTTACTTGATACTCTTTTAAACCTAGTGACGTGCATTTCCTAAACCGTGCGCGTTAAATGCCCAGCTTTTAGTATAATAACAATGTGGAAAATGAGGGATTTGCTTTACAGGGTCAACCAAAGTGTAAGTTGTAAGTGCAAAATGTTTTCGTGTTGGATTCTTTGCGTGTTCAAAGTTCATTATTTAAGTCTTTTCACCTGGTAACTAGCGAAAGTTTATACTTATTGTTTCATTAGCGCCTTTTCTGTCATTTCATTGCCTCCTTATTGCCCCTCTATTGCTACTTCGCATAATTTATCGATGTACCTATAGCAGTAATATACCTGTTTACTCGTTTTTCGCGCTAAGCGCAGTTCTGTGATGTACCGCCGTTTTCGCTCGCCCTTTTCTTTTCTTTTTTCGGCCTTAGCAGTTTCGCAATTGCAGTATTATTCTTGGTCTTTTCTGGGGCCATAACATTGTAAGTGTTTTATAGTCCTCTTTCAGTCGTGTTGTTTGTTATTTCTTTAATCGTATATTGTGCCATTTTTGTAATTGTTTGTTATTTTGGTTTCCACTCACATCATTTACGCCGTTGAGGAATTAAAGTGAATTGTGTTTATTTCTGCAAGAAGTGGAGTTGTTTAGCTGTCGGTGCTCGTGTGCAACAACCGAACCGTGTATTGGACTTGAAAGCCATTCAGCTGGAAATAATTTGCTCGAAGAAAAATTCGAGATCAGTTTACGCATCCGCAGTTACCGCGAAATCGAACAAAATTATTGGTTTGATATCTTATAATCGCAACCTTCAAGAAGTGAAAGAGAAGCTTTCTCATGTAGATAACGCTTTTCAAAGACTCCGAGAAGCTCATCACGATTATAGCAGCCAGATTATGGAAGAAGATGGCATCGCTGAATACTAGCTTAAACTTAAAAGTGAAGAAAGGAAATTCGGCTTATTCCGCCAGCAAATCGCCGACTGGATAACTGTGACTGTGAAGAAATTTCTAGCAGAATCGCTTCAAGTGGATTCAGTTGTAAAACCTAAAGAGACTTAGTAAGCTGTGCTGGCGTGCCAGAACTATAAAAGGCATCAAGAGCTTCTAATGCTTCTTAGCTTTCAAAACTCTCAAGTCAAGCCGCGCCTCATCAGTTGCAATTGCGAGAGCCAAAGTCGCCGAATTGAAAGCCAAAATTGCCATGCTTGAAAAACGTCAAGCTCTCGAGGAGAAGAAGTTTCGTTTGAAACATGAAGAGTCCCGCCTAAAGTTTGAAGCTGAAATAGCGAAGAAATCAGCAAAGGAGAGAGCCCTCGCTGCAATGACCAACCTATTTTTACTGCAGCTGCAGCCAGTCAAATTAGAACCGAGTTCAATGATCAGGATTCCGCTGTTCCCTTCCGCGTTAGTAAGACTATCCAGGAAGAATATCCACATTTAGAGCAGGGTGATCCTTGCAATTTCATTCTACGTGGCCCACATAATCTTTTTGCGCCCACAGCCAGTAAAGATTTGAGGAGAGAGACCATCGAATTACAACGACAACAGACCACCCTCTAGCTTCAACAGAACAGGATAGTTGAGTTGCTGGCACTGAACTAGAATAGAAGCAAACTTAACAAACCTTCCGTGCCGGTCTTTGGCTGAAATCCCATTGGGTACGGCACCTTCGTTCGAGCTTTCGAGAGGTTAATTGAGTCCAGAACATCTCGCAGTACCGAGAAGCTGTACTACCTGGAGCAGTTCCCAGCTGGAGGTGTTCAAGAACTTGTACAGTCCTGTCACTACCTACCACAGGATGAAGGTTACAATGAGGCCTGCATGCTCCTAAGGAAGAAGTTTGGCAATGAATACCGCATGATATTCGCCTATGAGACAAAAGCTTTAGACTGACCAAACGTAAGAGGTGAGGATGGTGCGGCTTTAGAACGCTTTTCGATTTTTTTGGAAAGCTGTAAAGGCGCTGTGTCAGGAAGCCGATATAGGTTAAGGTTCGATCAGCTGGGAAACACTCAAAAGTTAGTGCTCAAGCTTCCCTACAATCTGAGAGAGGGATGGCTTCGCGCACCCAACGACATTATTGAGTTACAGTCAAAGCCTGTGGACTTCAGCGACCTCATTGCTTTTGTTGATCTGGAAGCTAGCATAGTAACCAATCCAGTCTTTGATAGGATCTCTGACAGCGTTAATCCAGCGACTGGTCAGCGGTCATGCGGTGGCAAGACAGCCCTAAAGGAGCCTGAAAATTTCAGTTTCCTAACGCAAATAGACGGATGTGAATGTTCCCCCAAGCGAGACAGGCCTGCCTGACGCAAGTGAGCCAAGCGCTCGTGGTTATCGAGAACCGAGTTGGCAGTCTCACGAGGTACAAGTACCCGGTACTAATCCCATTTCCTCTCGAAAAAAACATCGGTGTCTCTATTGTAACAGTAACAATGCCCTTGAAGATTGTCTGCCATTGCGATGGAAACCGTATCAAGAAATAATTCAGTTTCTGGCGTCCAACAAACTGTACTTCGGGTGCCTCTCCAGTCAGCACATTTCTAGGTTGTGTCCTCAGAGAAAGACCTGCGAAATTGCAAACTGTTCAAGAAAGCACCGCTCAATTTTACACACCAGTCCCGGTGAGAAACATACAACAGACGTCGGTGTTGGCACAGACGATAACATTGACGCTCAAGTTCGTAGCAGCATGGTAAACATAGCGCGGATGCCAAACGTCAGACCTTACACGAAAGTGGCAGGACAGTCATGGCTGTGATACCAGTCAAACTGAGGCGAGAGATATTGATAGGAGCGAAATCACCCACGCCTTTCTGGACAGTGGTAGCAATTCAAGTTTCTGTACCCAGTCATTGATGAAGCAACTAGAAGTCAACGGTTAGCAGGTAAAGATATCCCCATCGACCCTGGAGAAGAAAAACAGTGCAACGGAAAGCTACCTTGTTCGTGATATTCTTTTATCCGCCTTGGAAGAAAACGATTGGATCAGCCTCTCAATGTTGTACACCAGGCCAGAGATCCCCGTATGCAGCGGTAACATTTCGATTCAAGAGGACATTACCTGCAAGGGGTCTTCCTATCTCATTTCCATGCCAAAGGCGCTCTCCTGATTGCCTGTGATGTTCCCTAAGTCCTTGATCCACTTGAGATTAAGCACAGTCAACACGGAGGTCCGTACGCTTCAAGAACACGTATTTACTGAGCGGTTTACGGACCCTTAGGTTGTCATTGTCATGATTCGCAGACATCAGGCTTCTTCGCTAAAGCCGATCTTCAGCTCAAACGGATGGTAGAGGACTTCTACAATCAGGACTTCACAGATTCTATCGTTGACGATTCAAGAGGACATTGGTCGGTGGCCTTACCTGCAAGGGGTCTTCCTATCTCATAGAGAGATGCCTTAGGACGAACGTTTTTTTTTATGCAATCACGATGTCTGGAATACACGACATTATTTATATGACGAATACAGATAAGGAATAAAATTCTACGGCAGCGAAATTTGAACCATAAAACAGCAAGAAATATTAGAGTTGAGAAATGGACACTATCGAATCACTTTACCATTAAAAGTCGCCAGGCCCCTGTACCAAACAACATTTCTTAGGCTATGCAGCGCGCAAACTGGTTGAAAAGGAAACTGGAGAGAGAGCCCAGATTGTTGGAAGGTTACAAAGCCTTTTGGAAGACACTGTGTCTTAGGATTAAGCGTGTAAAGTTCACCCTGAACAGAATAACCTTGAACAAGGCAGAGCTTGGTACATAACCATCATGGAGTATATCATCACCAAAAACCGGAGAAAATTTCATCGTCTTTGCTTAGCCAAATTCTTGAGCAAGTCTCTCAACGACATGTTATACAAGGGTCCAGCCTCTAACTGACTTGTGGGAGTTCTTGCAAGATTTCGCGCAGACAGGGTAACAGTGATGGCAGACATAGAATCAATTTTCTACCCAGTCATAGTTCCAGATTGCGACATTTCCTTTCTATGGTTTCTTTGGTGGGAAGACGGCGATTTGGCGCGTGAACTGTAAGAATTCCAAATTGGCGTACACCTCTTCGGAGCTGTTTCGTTACCGGCTCCCAAGAATTTCGCACGCCGTAAGACAACAGAAGATAATCAGCACAGCTTTCCCCCAAGCAACATTAACACTCTTAAAATGAATTTCTATGTTGACGATTATTTAAAGTCCCTCCCTTCCGAAGCAGACGCTATTCAACACGTTGACAGTTTACGAGTCCTACTTTCACGTGGTGGTTGTAAGATAGTTAAATGGATCAGCAGCAGCTGTAACGTCCTTGAAACCTTTCCTGAGTTGGAGCGATCAAAAGACATCAAGAACATTGACGCACGCAAGGACGAATAGCCTGTTCAGCAAGGTTTTGGAGTGCGTGGTTTCCGACTCGTTTCGCTTCAAATTCTGTAACTTCCGTCCTCTAACGCGCGGAGGTATCCTGTCCGTGACCGGTAGTATCTTTGATCCCTTAGGTTTCCATGCGTTCTTTGTTCTTACTGCAAAAGAAATTCTTTAAGACCTGTGTCACATCAAGTTAGGGTGGGATGATGAGATCCTAGATGAGTACAGTTCACGTCGGGAGAGTTGGTTGGCGGATCTTTTAAAGTTCTCAATTTTTATTGTAAGTCGCTGTTTGAAGCTAGCGGATTTTAGTCAAGTCAAATATAGTCAACTTCATCATTTCTCGCTGTTCTTTCGTTTTTGGCAAATTGTTTTTGTACGCCAGGACAAGATGATCAAGACAGAGTTAACTGAATGTTAATTCCGTATTTAAGACAGACAGAAGGCCGGTTCTTCGTTAGGTGAAGAAAGAGAGTACGCGTTTTCACACGTTCGTTCCCAACCGAATCGCAACGATACGAGATGGTTCAACTCCTCATCGGTTGCGTTAAGGTGCAGCGACCCCCGGTGATTATGCGTCAAGAGGACGACCGCCGAAGCCTTGACGACTTGCCAAAGATGGTAAATGGGTTGGAGTTCCTATAGAGGCCGGAAGGAGATTGGCCTCAGGACCCTACGTCACCCGTTACTATCCGAGATAGAAAAAGTTTTTGATCATGAATGCCAGTTCCGTTGTAGCAAGAGTACTCTCCAAATGTGTTGACTGTCGGCACCGCCAAGGCCCAGTCTGTGAACAGAAAATGGCTGACCTCCTTGTTGATCGTCTGAATCCTGACCGATCACCCTTTAAGTGCGTTGATATTTAACCCTCTCCTATGGTCAAATTACAGAGGCGTTTGGGAAAGCTGTATTTGCACGTTCCAAAAGAAGGATTCTTTGTCGCGACGCAGGTGGAGACAAGTGTAATATCTTACCGACATTTTTTTGAAAACGACGATCCAAAGAATATCTGCCCCTGCTTCATAGCAGACAAGAATGGACATCGCCTTGCAAAAATTTAGCCGTTGGAGATATTTTCCTTATCAACGTAGAAAATTCACCTCGCAACACACGGCGTCTTGGTAGGGCTGTCTAAGTTCTCTTCGACAGGAAAGATTTAGTTCGACGTGCCAAGGTGAAAGTAACGAGAGCTATTGTGGAGAGATCGATTGATAAACTTTGCCTGCTTTTGGAAGCTTGAGCTTTCCCGCCGGAATGACGTTTGCGTATCTCATGACTGCATTTAATCGAGGACCTTTGAAAGAGATACTTAGAACTAATTCAATTAAAATATAAGTGCCTCGCGTGCACTCCGCTCTTGGGGGCTGGTATGTAAGTACTTAGTGCGACATTTTTTCACCCCGTAACTAGCGAAAGTTTATACTTATTGTTTCAGTAGCGCCTTTTTTGTCATTTTATTGCCACCTTATAGCCCCCTTATTGCTACTTCCCATAATATATATCGATGTACATATGGCAGTAATATGTCTGTTTTCTTGTTTTTCGTGTTAAGCACAGTTCAGTAATATACCACCGTTTTCGCTCGTCCTTTTCCTTTTCGTTTTTTTGGTCGTAGCAGTTTTGTAATTGCAGTATCAATCTTGGTCTTTTCTTTTTTTTAAGTGTTTTATGCTCCGCTTTCCGTCGTGTCGTTTGTTGTTTCTTTATATCACATATTGTTTGTTATTTTAGTTTGAATTGTATTCATTTCTATAAGACGTGGGGTTTTTATTCCGTGGCCACAAATTTCGCGTGCAGTTTCAAAAAGAGTACAATTAGTTGTCAAGCCACGCTAGAGAAGAATCTACACTAAACTTAAGTTACGACTCTCGATTTTGAACAAAGTTGCAGCACACGAAGCTGAAAACGTTCCATAATACCTCACTGACATAAAAGTGAAAAACATATAAAACTTATCAGTCCAGTTTAGTTCGGCTGCCGACGTTGCGACGAATTTACTTTGGGCTACTTTTTCACTAGTGTAATAATTGACTAGAAATCAATGTAACTATCTCGATATCTGGAATACACAACATTATTTAGATGACGAATGCAGATAAGGAATAAATTCTACGACAGCCAAATTTAAACCATAAACCATTACTCAATACCAAAGGAAGTAAAAGAACGCCAATCATAAGGAGCACTGCATGAGTTAATTGCTAGTGCTGCTCTTACCATTGCAAAGCTCAGTGGCCAACTGATGTGGGTGTTTGACTCTAGATTGACAGGTCTGGATTTAAGCCCAGGCCAGTTTATTGTGTTGTGTTGTTAGGAAAGAAGTTATGCTCTCCAGCCAGGGGTTAAAACTAGATACAACGAAAACTACATTCACGACGGAAACTACCGATGAAGTTCCTCGCAACGGGCTATCGTTCCTTCCAAGAGGAGTATCGTTACTTTCAGTCTCTCAATGCTTCAGAAAAAGATCTGGCGGTAATGGGTCATTAGGCTGGCGAGCTTAACCTATGATTCAAGATACGGGTCAGGCAACGCGTGCTCATCAACATAATCATGCTATGTTCATCGTCAATCTTCCTTTAATTTTCAAGTGCAATAAAAGGCAATAAAATAATTTACGTTAAGGTTTCATGGAAGTATTGGGTCAGCGACTTATTGGTTATCTATTCGTTACTTTCTTTATATATTTCCTTGTAGTTTCGATAATGAAAAGATTAAATGTTCAGGTGTCATTTTTATCGTGAAGTAACGGTTGTATTCAGCATATACTTTACACATTTCTAACGATATCTTGATAGAAACTTAACCAGCAACAAACTGAGGGACTTGCCCCATGGTATCTTCAGTAATTATACCAAGCTGGAATTCCTGTAAGCCAAAACTCAATTTTATCGATCTGAAAGTGAATATAAAAATCCATATTTAACACGTTCGTAATGATTCTTGATAGGAATGTGAGTGGCAGTGACCTAAAGAACCTTTCTCCGAGTAATTTTCGGTTGCAATTCGAGCCTTTCCAACTCCCAAAATCATGACAAGCTCACTCCAACCTTTATATAAACATTCCAAACGTACCTAATTCATTACTTCAGTCACTGTGTCAGTAGCACTGACTGACGTGTGATGTTGTAGCCCGATCGTCCGGGTGAGGGTAGTCCTGAGAAGGACTGTTATAGACTGACAAAAATTTTTCCATCGACCCATTTGATGACCTCCGCCGGACTTATCGAAACGTTGGACAATGGTTCCGAAAACAATCCTTCGCAGGACTGCTCTCATCCGGACAATGAAACTACACTCAACTGCATCACTGGTGATGCTTTGGTGTCACTGATCTCGGGAGAGGAAACAAATTTCTGGGATTAGCTTTTCCACAAGAAAATGAAAAACTCCCCCCCCCCTGCCCTGCTATTTACCCAACACCCCCTCTTTTAGGCTCTCAGTTTATGTAGAGCACCTCAATCTAAGAATTAAGGCACAGTTTCCAAAAATAAAAGCACTCGACGTGAAAATGGAACATGCTCACTTGCAGTTCTGGTTAAGCGCAAAATAGGTTAGATTCATGGCTGATAGAAAATAAAGGATTACGTAGGTTTTTTTGAGCCCCCATAACAAAGCATGCAAGGAAATACTGCATTACCGGATAAACCCTTTCATTTAATGTTATTATCGAATAAATCGTAATGAACACCACCCTCTATCACTTTTTGGCAGGGAAATAAACAACAATCTGTTGAAGGAATTACCATCAGGCATGTTCAGTAACAATACCAATCTGTCCATTCTGTAAGTTAGGACCCTTTTTTCTTTTTGTAAAGAATGCCTAAAATCCATCTCGCATTGGGCAAGATACCAGCATATCGGAGCACGCTAATGTTTTTACGGTAAACATTCATAGTTCTGATCAGACAGAGGCACAGAAAATGAAAAGTGAAAACAGAGATTAAATGAAACAATCAGCTTACAAAAAAACATTTACTGTAGAGTGTAGAGCCAATCTGATCTAAGAACAATACTTGCGGTTCAACTCTCGGTCCACTTTTAACTTTGGCGTAAATTAATGATTTGCCAAATGCCTCAAACACACTACACCTCGAATGTTTGCCGACGATATCAGCATAACAACCAACGCGAGAAGTAATGACGAAATCGAATTGGGGTTTAATGAAGACTTAGGTAACATTAAATTATGGGTACAAGCAAACAAGCTCAGCCATAACGTTGCGAAGACAGACACTAGTGGAGCAAGCATGCTAAAGAAATAACTGAAAGAATTACAGCAAGAATTAGTGCTTAAAAACGGCTCAGTAGGAGATTTTGCAAGTCGAGATGTACTGTTTCAGTTTATAATGCACTAATTATGCCTCATTTTGATTATTGTTGTGAGGTTTAGGATTCATTAGGTGTACTAGCCGAAAGGCTGCAGAAACACTATAACAGATGTGCTAGGGTAATTATGCGTTACAAAAGCGAGGTTGGAAAGTCTGAATTAGTCCTACATTATCTTGGCTGGAGTTTACTAAGCGAACAAAAAATTCATATTAAGGCTGGACAAATGTTTAAGGTTCTCCAAGACTTGGCACCTGCGAGGCTTTCGAATATTTTCAGGGACTCGTGCTCGGACAACAATTATAATTTAAGGAAAGCTGATAATAACGTGGCCATTCCATTGCCAAAGACTGGATTTTAAAGAAGAGTTTGAGTTATCATGGTGCTAAGATCTGAAATTCCTTTCCAAATGAAATACGTAGTTCTGAAACTTTGGCTTCATTTGATGAGCTTATTTCAACCTATAGACCAACTGTGAAATAATATATTTCTAATGGGTTATAATTAGTGCATTGATAGTTTAAGTCATGAATATTAGTGTATACATACATATATATATCTTAAATAGTTATTAGCTTTTATAATTGGTTCACGCCCCTACTGAAAACCAGCTTTTTATAATGTTAATGGTAGGGTAGCTTATTTTAATAAAGTTAATCTATCAAGTTATCTAATGACATGACTCAGCTTTGAAAAACAATGAGTATATATCTTCCTAAACGCCACTTAAAAATATTTCTGATCATAGAAATTTCTTGAACTTTGTTCACGAAAACAATGTCGACAACACCTTTCTGAATTATTTTTGGTAGGTTTTTAAGACACAACAAGTTGGAAAAATTGTCACCGGGAATTTTTGAAAACAACATCAAGCTGACGTATTTGTAAGTTTGGAGCCTGCCTTATTAAGTAAAGAACGCGTTAAATCCATACCACTTCAGCGAGAATATCATTAGAACTAAGCAGCGATTGAAGAACTTTCCACAGAACCATGATTCCTTTAGGTCAGAGGTTGTGATAATCATAGAAATTTCTTGAACTTTGGTCACGAAAACAATGTTGATAACACCACTCTGAATTATTTTTGGTAGGTTTTTAGGACACAACAAGTTGGAAAAATTGTCAGCGGGAATTTTTGATAACAACATCAAGCTGAAGCATTTGTAAGTTTGGAGCCTGCCTTATTAAATAAAGAACGCGTTAAATCCATACCACTTCAGCGAGAATATCATTAGAATTAAGCAGCAATTTAAAAATTTTCCGCAGAACCATGATCCCTTTAGGTCAGATGTTGTGATAATCAGTTTTGTACACCGTTTACAAGCCCAAATCTTGCGACAAAATAGCTGGCTGCCCTACTTTGTCTACTTAAAGTCTTTCTTTGTAAAACCAAAGAGAAAACGTCGGTTTTTATAGAATGTTAATTTTTTTGCACGTACATTTCAGTTATACCCTCATATCAGAAAGCTTACAAGTTACTTGAACTTTTTTCATGAAGACAGGGAATATCCCACAAGTCACATGTATTTTATCAGTACACACACGAAAAGACGATTAGTGAAAAGCATCAGCTTTGAATGCCGGTTGCAGCCCTGAAGCATAAAGTCTTATGGGATGAATTTTATTTTAAGCTAACAGTAGACATATATCTTAAAGTGCGGACAAAAGATTATCATTAGTTGGTCAAAGTCAGTAACTTTTGACAAAAGAACTTAGAAAAACTTACTAGGATTGATGACAAGAACTTGTGTGTGTTACTAGTGTAACGATGTTAATTTATGCATGTTAAGTTAATTTATACAGTTTAGTTTACATCCAGGAGGTTGGAACATTTACTGGTGTGATGATGTTAAGGCCTTCCAAACGATCCAGTTCCTCTTTTAGCTTTTCTTTAATGGCGATTGGCACCTT